TGTAAATTTTACAATATATAGTGACAAGATATACACATCTTTTGAAGTTTCATTTATTAAAACGTTTTTATAATTTGTCAACCTGGATGCTGTCTGGGATGTAGCTGTTCCACAGGAAATCCTCACTAACTATAGGCTCCACCAAAATGTTTATAATTCTATCTCCATCTCAAGAAAAATCTGTTAGAGTAGTGTAGTACACAAAATATGGCTATAGGCTCCATTATCACAGGATGATTCTGATGAAGGCCCATGTGACAGGAAGAGAGTGCCAAATTTAAGCATGGTTGTTCTTTACCTATTTTAATGAAAAATTGCATTTAAAATTTTCCTGAGGAAACCAAACCATATAATAACTCAATCAACATGGAACACCGAATTGAGAGAGATTGTATTTAAATTATTTTCCCCTTCTTAAAAAAATATGATTGCAAGTTTTGTCTACATAAAGCAAAAACTATTGAACTCTATGTGATCTTTACAAATAACTAATCAACTTTGATATATACAAATATATGCATAAAATGGATATTTTCTTTACATTAATAAAACTATGTACACTTGCATGAAATTCAAAAGCAATAAACAAAACACATCTTATTACAGTGAAGAAAAAAAACTAATTCTGGCACCAAGAAACACTATAATTTGATTTTTTTTCTCCCTAAGATTTGGCCCTAGGCTCAGGTATTTCTGCAATCTTTCTTAGGGAATGCATTTATATTTCATCCATAGTAACAAAAGAGAAGGAAGGAACTCCATGAATTTGTATAAATTCAATAAACTAGAGATAGTTTAAGCTTAAAAAAAAAAAAAAAAAAAGGAAAGAACAGATTATCCCGAACCCATAATTACAAAACTGCCATAAAGGAAGTGTGTGTGTGTGTGTATTCTGCTATCATATCCAGTTAATAATTACACAGTTCTGAGAATCTAGGAGGAAGACAAAAGCCATTAAAACATTAAAAACTCCATCTCCTTTTCTCCCATATATCTTTTTAGGTATAAACTTATGCTGTCCTGTTATCAGTTATAGGTACACTACTCTAAATTCAAAATCCCTGAAAAATTGTTTCTCATTATGCATTTTTGTTGAAAATACTTACTCTTCCCATGCACATGAAAAATAACAGAAACATGCATACTACCAACCAGCTCCATAAGATGAATATAAGGAGCTCTGGTAGTGTAGTGGTTAAGGCATTTGGCTGCCAACCAAAAGGTCAGTTGTTCAAACCCATGAGCCACTCTATGGACGAAAGATAAGGCAACATACTTCTGCAGATTTACAGCCTTGGAAATCCAAGGGATTGCTATGAGTCTGTATCAACTCACTGGCAGTAAGTTTGTTTTTGTTTTTGTTTTTGATTAAGGTGAATATGGAGGATATCTGGCCTAGACCTAGCCTCTGACACCATTTTCTTGGTACGTGGTATAAGCGCCAAGAATTCTTTTCTTTAAAACGTGTGCAAATTGGCATAGTCTTTTAGAAATACATTAAAAGACTGCAATTTGTTCTCTATTAAATTAGAAAGTTAAAGGCAATATACTTAAAGAACATGAGATAAGGAATATCCAGAATGAAATCCAGAAAATATTTCTCCAGGGGGGGAAAAAAAAAAAAAACTTTTTTCATTTGACAAAAAATAAAAACATGTAAATTCATCCTAAAATGTAGGAATATATTTAGGAATGTTTGCATTGTTGAAAGTACTGAGAGCATGTGATTTTATTTTAAAGTACATCTATAACTTGAAGGAGATCTCGGCTTCATATAATTTTGTAAACATCTATAATATTGTCCTCTTCCCTATTTATCCCATAAACTGTAGTACATTATGAATAATATGCTTTGTAGAGGTAGATTAAACAGTATGTGTCAGTCTGAGAGAGAGGGTCTAATTTCATCTGAGTAAGCAAACCTCAAAACTGCGGCACTTGGCATGACTAAAATGGCTGCCCCAGATCTAAATTAAACTCCATTTTTAATCAAACTGTAGCTTGGCCTAAAACCTCTGCTTCATCTGCTATGAAATGACAATTCAACTTCTTATAAAAGTTTAACTGCTTGTAACCCAAAAGGAGCAAAGTTCAAGATTTTAGCTTGTGTGAGGAATTGTTAAAAGATGTTTAGTGAGACTGTTTGTGCAGCTTGATCCAAGAATAATGCCTTGGTCACTATATTCCCAAAGGTTAGAAAATAGAAACGGTAATATCGAGAAGGATTGTAGTTTAACCACTTCCTTGTAACTCTTTGTCATGTAATCCCTGGTGCCTGTGAGCATATAGCCCTTTGTTCACCCCACTCAATAAAAACCTCTCTCTCCTTGCAATTTGTAACTCTATAATATCTGCCTTGGTGCTCGTGTCTCCAATTCATGAATCTCTCTACCATTCAATAAAACTCTTTGTTTTTACCTCATAATAAAAGGCTGGTGCTTTGCAATGACATTTCTTGGCAGCCACAAAGGGATCCAATGGTGAATTTGCCTCTGCAACTTCCACGGTGCTGCAGATTTGGGCCAATGGTACTGGGTGGGGTCATTTTAGGGCCTTCCATCTCCATGGCAGATTCAAGAGTTACTCTTGGTTCTGAGCCTTAGCTCTCTTTGAGTAGAAGCTCCCTGAATTTCACTGTAAGATTTGCCTTTCTCTTTCCCATTTTTATAAAATGGAACATAAGTTTCTTTGGTTTTTAGGTCATTCCTAAGGGTCTCAGAATCTTAGAGATATTAGCTGGTTTTGAGAAACAGAGAACTCTGACCTTCTTCAGTAAGATTTTACTTGCATGTGATATTAATGATATTGTTCGATAATTTCCACATTGTGTGGAATCACCTTTCTTTGGAATGGGCACAAATATGATCTCTTCCAGTCAGTTGGCCAGTTAGCTCTCTTCCAAATCTCTTGGCATAACTGAGTGAGTGCCTCCAGTGGGGCATCCATTTGTTGAAACATCTCAATGGGTATTCCCTCAATTCCTGGAGCCTTGTTCTTAGCCAATTCCTTCAGTGCAGCTTCAACTTCTTCTTTCAATACCATTGGTTCTTAATCATATGCCAACTCCTGAAATGGATGAAGATCTACCAAATGTACCAAAAAAGTTCTTTTTGGTACAGTGACTCTTTGTATTCCTTCCATCTTCCTTTGATGCTTCCCGCATCATTCAATATTTTCCCATAGAATCTTTTCAATATTGCAACTCGAGGCTTAATTTTTTTCCTCAGTTCTTTCAGCTTGAGAAATGCCAAGCATGTTCTTCCCTTTTGGCTTTCTAACTCCAGGTCTTTACACATTTCATTATAGTAATTGGCTTTGTCTGCTCGAGCTGCTCTTTGAAATCTTCTGTTTAGCTTTTTTATCTGGTCATTTCTTCCATTTGCTTTAGCTACTCTCCACTCAAGAGCAGCTGTCCCCTTACCTGAAACAAAGAAATAATTAAGGGGATTTTTAGGTTCTCTGTGCCTATTGTCAAACTTGGATTCCTAACTTTTCTCTCATGGCTCACCCTTTATACAAATATTTAAAGACCTCTGAACCTGATTCATTCTATCTCACCCCAGAAGATCAAGTGGTGATAACCACATTAAAAGAAGCTTTAACTAACATGCCCACTTCAGGGTCCCTAGCTATCATTTGGATTTCTCTTCAGTACATGAAGTTTCTGGTAATGCATTAAGTGTTCTTACATAGAAACACAAGGACAAAATAGGCCTGTTGGTTATTACAGCCTGCAGCTGTACTCTGTTGCTAGAAGCTACCCCCACTTGCCTCAGGTCCCTAGCTGCTACTGTAAAATTGGTAGAAACTATTGCAGATATAGTTTGGGGAATTTTATATATATATGTGTGTGTGTGTGTGTGTGTGTGTGTGTGTACGTATCTCATGCTATGCATATTTTACTTACTTCTGCTTTAACCCAATATTTAACTGCCAGATGACTCATTTCATATGAGGTCCTTCTTCTAGTGGCTTCAAATTAGTGGCTACTTTCAAATACACTGGCTACTTCAAACCCAGGCACTCTTCTTCCTATAATGGATGAAGGCAATTGTCCTTCCCATAATTGTTTAGATCTAACTGAGCAGTTTTGGGAGCTCTGGTAGCGTAGTGGCTAAGGCACTTGACTGCTAACCAGAAGGCTAGCAGTTCAAACCCACCAGCCACTCCTCAGAAGGAAGGTTGGGCAATCTACGTCTGTAGTGGTACTGCCTCGGAAACTCAAGGATGGGTCACTGTGAGTCAGGTCCGACTCGACAGCAAATAACAACAACAACTGAGCAGTTTTAGACTTCCCATAGTAACTTAAAGGAAATTCCTTTGACAAACTCTTATATGATATTATTTGCAGATAATTCTTACTTAAAACCAACTCCTGACTCTCATTATCAGCCTGGTTGCACTATTACTACTTCTACCAAAGTTCTCGAAAGCCACCCACTTCCCAAAGCCACTTCAACCCAACCTGCTGAATTTATATTACTCTTACTCAAGCCTATAAAGTTGCTAATGGGAATTCCACGGATATTTTTACAGACTCAAAATATGTGTTTGGAGTTATTCATGATTATGGTATGTTATATGGAAACAAAGAGGGTTTCTAATCTATTATGGTCATGTTGTTGTTGTTGTTGTTATTTGCCATTGAGTCGGCCCGACTCCTAGTGACCCCTCCTTGGGTTTGCAAGGCAGTTATCACTACGGAAGTAGGATTGCCCAACCTTCCTTCCGAGGAGTGGCTGGTGGGTGTGAACCGCCAGCCTCCTGGTTAGCAGTCAAGTGTCTTAGGCACTATGCTACCAGAGCTTACAGTCATACTATTAAAAATAACATTCTAGTAGCAGACATTTCCAATGCCTTGTTCCCTTCTGAAATTGCTGTAATTAAAATACAGATGCACCAACCAAAGGGAATGTCCTCAACTTTTCTATTTTAATTTTAAGAAATTAAAAGAAATAAACTTGCTGCTGCTGCTGCTAAACAGGCTGCTTCTGAATTTACTGTTGCCTCCTTATATAAAGGAGTTTATATAAAGGGGCTTCTAGAAGAACCTACCGGAAGGAAGGTTGGGCAATCTACTTCCGTAGTGATACTGCCTTGGAAACCCAAAGAGGGGTCACTATGAGTTGGGGCCGACTTGATGGCATATAACATAACAGAAGAACCTACAGATTTGTTTTTCTTTGAAATAACTAATACTTTTGAACCCACCAAAGAAAAGCTTGTAAGATATCAGCAATTAGCTCAGTCAGATGAAATTGAGACATGAAAAAGTCAGGCTGTTACCAAGACTGTAACACTGTTTATCTTCTCATATTCTACTGTGTTGGACTTTTCTGTGTTAGGACTTTGGTTCTCTCTACATGTCTAGGTCAGTGAGATATATGTAGCCATGCATCATAGCATCTATATAATCTGTAATTTAAATAAAAGAGTATCCCAAACATAAGCTTGCATTAAGGAGACAAGTGTGAAGAATGATTTGTAAGATCCACGTTGGATCTTATAACTAGAACTTTTAATATAACATTTTATTGTCCTTAGTGGGGATGATTTGGGAAATCTGAAAAAGTAGTTTGTTCCTCAATCTATGAAGACAAAACAAAGAGAAAAACAAGGTGGAAGAAAAAAAGGAGAAGCAGGAGAGGGAGGCAGAAGCAGCTACTCTCTGAATTGCTGTTGCTGTGTGTTGTGGAATCAATTCCAATTCACAGTGACCCTATATGACAGACTAGAACTATTCCACTGGGTGTTTAGGCTATAATCTTTATGGGAGAAGATCTCCAGGTCTTTTCCCTGCAGAGCAACTGGTGGGTTCACACTGCTGACCTTTTGATTAGCAGCCAAGTACTTAACAATTGCTGTACTAAGTTGCTTTGAATTATTATTATTATTTATTTATACATTAGACCAATTTTGGATAAAAGTAAATTGCTTTGGCAGTAACAAATTTAGCACAGTATTATTTTATGATTCAGCTATAACTTGACATAAACTTGCAACAGGATTAATTGCATGCATATATTTCAGTGATATTTTCTAGAGGGAAAAAAAGCTTTAATAATTATTTTAGATCCAATAATACATTTAAATGAATGTAGCATATTATCTTGATCAACAGTTTTCAGTTTTAATTAGATTTGGCATTCCATACCAAGCTCACTGAATTCAAAATAAGCAATAGGAATTACGCTTTCTATTCTCAACTGGTATTCTTTCCCATCTTCTGATATAGTGCTCAGTTCAGGTTGCAACCGATACAAGAAAATATATAGAGCAGTCATGTTAAAATATAACTTTTTTTTTTTTTCCTAAAGGGTTCCTTTATTTTTTTCGCCCCATGATCACATCAAAATCTAGTCAGTTTTAAAATGGCATAAGCATTTAAAACATGGTTTTTAGTTAGGCCACTTCACAGGTTTGCTTTTTTTGTTTGTTTTTAAAATGCATTTTATTGAAATATAATTTATGTACAGTGAAATACACAAAACTAAAGTGACATGGGTCAATGCATTTTTTTTTTTTTTTTTTTTTTTTTTTTTTTTTTAGTGTTCCTTCCCCTCCCTCCCCTCCCAACCCTGGCAACCAACAAAGAAAGTTTCCCTCCTTTCCTTGACCCTCCACAACAATGAACTAATACTGTATTTGTCCTTCTGTAATTGACTTATTTCACTCAGCATAATGTCTTCCAAGTTCACCCATGTTATGTGGTGTTTTTCAGACTCTACATTATTCTTTAGTGCTGCATAGCATTCCATTGTGTGTACGTATCATAACTTGGTCATCCCCTCTTCCATTGATAGGCACATAGGCTGTTTTCATCTTTTTGCTATTGTAAATAGTATTGCAATGAACATAGGTGTGAATGTATCTGTTCCTGTCGTGGCAATGACCTCTTTAGGATATAAACCTAGTAATGGGATTGCTGGGTTAAATGGTATCTCCAATTTCAGCTCCCTAAGGAATTGCTAAACTGCTTTCCACAGTGGTTGCATCACTTCACAGTTCCACCAGCAGTGTATGAGAGTCTCAATCTCTTCACATCATCACTAATATTTGTTATTTTCTGTCTTGTAGAACTTTGCCATTAGTGCTGGGATGAGATGGTATCTTGTTGTTTTGATTTGCATCTCTCTGATGGTCAATGATTGTGAACATCTCTTCATTTATTTGCTGGCCACCAGAAAATCCTCCTTGGTGAAGTGTCTATTCATGTCTTCTGCTCATTTTTCAATTGGATTGTTAATTCCTTTGCTGTTGAGGTGTGCAAGTTTTCTATAAATCTTGGAGATAAGTCCCTTGCCAGATATGTAATTATCAACAAGTATGAATTTGTTGCTGTCATTTTTGTTATGTGCTTTTTCATGGTGTTGAATTCTTTGTTCCATATAATTTTCTGTGCTGAGCTTGTTTTTTTTAGGAATTGTGTTATCACTTCCTTCATTGCTATTGTTTTAGTATTTGCTAAATATTTGTGCTGGTACTCTTTTTTCTTTGCTATTCATAAGGTTTTCCCTGGCCAATTCTTT